TGGGAGGGCCTGACCCAGGGCCCTTGAGTGGAACTCTCCATGCACTCACCCCTGCTCACAAAGCCCTCCTCTGTGCCAGACCCCATGCTACGCTCAGGTACAGCAGGGACCCAGACGGTCGAGAAACAAATTCAGAATGGCACATAGTTAGGAGTGAAAGGAATACCAAGCAGAACAAAGCTGGGGTATGGGGTCGGCTGGTCCCCCAGGCTCCCAGGCTGAGGGGCTATCTAACTGGCCAGCAGAGACACTGAAAGAGAAAATATCCCTGAGATTTTTACACCTGTGTCCAAAATGCCAAGTTCACTTTTATTAACCATTATGCAGAACTATATGAAACTGCTGTATTTGTAGGTCAAAAATAAAGCCCCATCAAATATGGGCAATTTCATATGGCTCAAGCTCAGACTGAGTTAGCAGAAGACACCTGTAGTGTCTGGGGGACTGAATGGAAAACACCTGGGCTTCTGCATGACATGGGATTTGCCAAGCGGACCCCATGTTAGTGAACCCACCCATTTCCCAGCAGACATGAACTTAATGTTCTCATATCCAGATTCTGGAGACCGTGTCTGGACTGCTTTCATCCAGGTGGGGAGACAAGGAAGCAGGGACCAAGCTGCATCTGGCGAGCCTCCAAAGAGGGCAGATGCTCCCAGGCTGCTGGTCTGTGCAGGCTGCACCCACTTTCCTTTTCGCTTCAGACTGTCCTGAACTCCCCACTGTCCCAAGTCCCCCATCATCCTCACAGCGATTCCTTACAGAGACTGACCCACGGAGATTTCTCTGCCTCTTTCCTCCATCATCAGTCCGCCTCCCTGGGCCTCCCCTAGGTCCACATCGTCCTTCAGGTCGGGATGGGCAGGGGTATGTGTGCATTACTTAACTCCATTACAGAGAAGTTGGAAGAGAACTACCCATAATCCCCTGCTCTATCACATCCTTTATGCCGTATCACAAGGGTTCTTAACTTTTCTCCCTGCTCACGTTTATACGGTAGCCTGGCTCCGTCAGCCTAACTTACCCAGACGCAGACCTGAACCCACCAAGTCAGCTTTATGGGCTCTTTGCAACAAGGCAGCCCACACACCAGAGGAACCAGGGGTGGCTTGCCAAACAAAGCAAGTCTCGTCAGGAAGTCAGAACCTGAGGGCGGAGTAGTGTGTAGGTGACCTTGAGATGAAGCAGTGTTCATGGGCTCAGACCAAAGCAGACCTTGTTCAAGGACCTGGATGTGAGTTTGGAGGGTGACAAGTATCTGGGTCCTGTATCCTTGAAAACCACAGTTAAAATAGAGGTGACATGTTGAGTCTGAAACCTCCTTATCTGAGCCCTGCACCTGGCCTGGAAATAGAGGCAGAGTTTTGGTGACTCAGACCCTCTAGGCCCAAGGGGGACCTTTCCTTCACAGAATTTTCTGCCAGTCTGGGTTTAGGGCACAAGGTTTCCAACAAGGGCAAAGAGAATGTGGGTATTTGATATTAAATAGCTGTAGCTGTTCTTGGGAGAAACAGTTTCTTAACTCCCCAGCTAGCTTCATCTAGGTCTGACCTCTAGCTTGATGATTTTCACTTTTCCAGTAGCTACAGGCTAGGAGTTCTTAACTTGGGGGCCCAAAGGTGGAGGAAGGCCCTGAAATGGCAGGCGTTGTCCAAGGTGGGGACAGCATTTCCAGGAGAGGGGGTTCAGCTTCCACCAGGTTCCCTAGGCCTCTTAGTCCTGGGCAAGGTCCAGATGGTGTCAGGAGAGTAGAGCAGTGGGGCTAGCAGGACGGGGCTGGTGGTCTCTTGCCTCCCCCACTCTTCTTCCAGCTGAGGCTGGGGCAGAGGGCCTTTCCTAAATCCGGATGGCAGGGGAGGTAGCTGGGTGGTGGGAGAGGGGCTGGGGAAGGGGGCAGGCTCTGGAATGGCCCTGTGAGAACCAGGTGGGGAGGAGTACCCCTGATGGGTGATAATGAGTCCTGCAGCACCCTCCTGAAACCACCCTGGTGCTTTCTACAGTTGTGTTCTGAGGGTCCACCTTGTGCTGGGGGTGAGGGGAGAGTGTCGCAGCTCAAGGGTGTCTGGGCAGACAAGCTAGCACAGGAACTCGTGGGACGCTGCGGGGTCCTCCTGGCAGTGCTGAGGGGTGTGCTAAGATCCTAAGCCAGCAGGGAATCTGGCTCCGAGGGGACTGAGATGCTGGGAATGGGTGCTGGTGGGAAAGGACACTATCCTGGCCCCCAGCCCGGGAGGAGGCACGGCTCCAATACTGAGGTTATAGGAAACATACTTAAATACATTTCAAATATTGTTTGAGAAAAGCCTAGAAGAGGTGCACTTATAAGACCAAATGCCAAGTCCAGTGTTTGTGCGGAGTTTTTCGAGGCAAGTTCCCTACCCACTCGTGGGGCTGCGCAGAGGGATGGCAAGAGGCACTGTGCATCTGCCTGACGCCCGGTGCCTGCTCCCTGCAGACTGTGGCCTGGCGCCGATGGCAGCGCTGACCAGGATTGTGGGTGGCAGCGCTGCAGGCCTCGGGGAATGGCCATGGCAGGTGAGCCTGTGGCTGCGGCGCCGAGAGCACCGCTGTGGGGCCGTGCTCGTGGCCGAAAGGTGGCTGCTGTCTGCCGCGCACTGCTTCGATGTGTGAGTCTGACCTGCCCCCAACGTCCTGGTCCATCAGTGGTTCACTGAGACTGACTTGTGGCCCCAAAACTTGCTATGTCATTTCTATGTGCCTTTGCCTGGAATGCTCCCACCACTGCGACTGGGACCCACTGCCACCCCTACTCCATGAAGCCCACCCTGTCCATTCACCACACGGGGCTGCAGGAACTGTCCTACACACACACCACTGCCCACCACCCACTGCTGTGGCCTCTCCCAGTCCGGGGCCAGGCTTGCTGGTGACATAGGGTCTCTGGAGAACTGAGACATCTCCATCCTCCAAACGCCACACACTGGGGAGTCCGCTTCATGGCAGGCTGCTCAGTAGGGTGGACCAGGCCAAGGGCCCTGCCCTCCGTGGAGCCCCCCAGGTCTTGGTGCACACTCTGCACCTTGCAGGGTGGGGTCAGAGAATGAACAGGCAGGGCAGGGGGCCCTATGGCCACCAGAGCCCTAATACTGGGCAGAAATGGGGACAGTTTATGTCACCTCATTGCTGTGGGTGCATTTCAGGCATTGGCAACCCCCTCACTGTCCTAGGAGGAAGGGATGGCTCTTAGCCTCATTTCCAGATGAGCGACCCAGGGCCCACAGAAGCCCCAGGCAGGTGGTAATTGGAGCACAGGGATTCTGGACAATGCCTGTCCCCTCATACCTACAGCTACGGTGATCCCAAGCAGTGGGTGGCCTTCCTGGGCACACCATTCCTGAGTGGTGCTGATGGGCAGCTGGAACGGGTAGCACGTATCTACAAGCACCCCTTCTACAACCTCTACACGCTTGACTACGACGTGGCACTGCTGGAGTTGGTGGGGCCTGTGCACCACAGCCGCCTGGTACGGCCCATCTGCCTACCTGAGCCTGCACCGCGGCCCCCCAATGGGGCACGCTGTGTAATCACTGGCTGGGGCTCAGTTCGAGAGGGAGGTAAGCCCTGCACCCTCAAGGGTTAAGCAGTCATCCTGGGGGCATCAGGAAGGCCTCCAGCCCAGTCCCTTGTGGCCTCACTGCTCCATCTCCTCAGGCTCCATGGTACGGCAACTACAGAAAGCGGCAGTGCGCCTCCTCAGTGAGCAGGCCTGTCGCCGCTACTACCCAGTGCAGATCAGCAGCCGCATGATGTGTGCTGGCTTCCCACAGGGCGGCGTGGACAGCTGTTCGGTGAGCACAACTTAAAAGTAAAATGGAAGCTCTGCTGGGGTCCAGGTCCCATCCATCCGGGGAGGGCAAAGTTCTGGTTGCTCTAAAGTCCACCAGCCAGGGCCCATTCTTTGGCACAAACTTCAGCTGATCAAATGGAATCTTTTTGGCCTCAGAGGTTTCAATGGGCCATCCACTACAAACCAGTTCCCACCCCACCACATCCTCACCAGCACCCTGCAGGGGAGGGATGGGGACAGGCTGCAGTGTGAGGCCCTGTTCTGCTAGGGAATCAGTGGCAGGTGTCCACAAGTATCTGCCAGACAGATCAATGGCTTGTCCTAGCATTAAGCCTACTCACAGGGCTAGTCACTCACTTGGGGTCACATGGGGAGTCCAGCTGACACTCCTGTAGTGGCCAGCCATCCAGGGTGTGATCAGGTCAGTCCTCCCTTGGCCTGAGGGCTGCCACTGGGGTGGGGTTGGGGGGTTGTTACTGGCCTGCTCTGAGCACCTTTCCTCTCTCCTCCCCTCAGGGTGACGCTGGGGGACCCCTGGCCTGCAGGGAGCCCTCTGGCCGGTGGGTGCTAACTGGGGTCACCAGCTGGGGATACGGCTGTGGGCGGCCCCACTTCCCGGGTGTCTATACCCGGGTAGCTGCGGTGAGAGGCTGGATCATGCAGAACATCCAGGAGTGACCACCCATGGCTGTCCAGGTCTGGGAGGAGAGATGTGAAGGCAGTAGGAACCAGCCAGCCACCAGCCTGAGAAGGGGAGTCCAGTCCAGGTGGTGGGCAGAGGGTAGGGGGGCGGTGGTGTGTGTGTGGGCGCTCTGGGTAGCGGAGTACAGTTTTACTGTATATTTTGTTCCAATAAAAAGCCCCTTGTCCCTAGCTTACTGGCTCAGCACCTCCACATCACAGCAAGAACTACTTGCTTGCCCATGACCCAGGGCCCAGAGATAGGATGAAGGATGTAGGGAGAGTTAACAAGACCTCTCAGGGAGAGGCCTGCCCCCCTCTCCCCTCAACCCCAAAGGCTCATTTTCAAGGCTTCTTTTTGTGTGAATACATTCATCATCCAGAGAACCCAGTAGCAAGCTCGGAGAAGGAAAATTGGTGTGTGTGGGGGGAGGGGCAGAGGCTGAGGCTTAGTCTGCGCAGGGGACCCAGGTACCCTAGACAGAAGCCTCCTGTAGAGAAGATGCACAGGACTCTCCACACACCCCTCAACAATTTATTTGTCAGCCCATTCCCATATCACAGCTCAAGTGGGGTCTGACCATACATTCCCCCCGCCCCAGGTCCGCAGGAGGATTGCATGGTCAAGGCATGAGGTTGACTAAGCACACCAAGGAAGGTGCCACGGAGCTGTCAGCACTTTGGGAAATTCCAGGGACCCTAAGTCCCCAAATAACTCGCTGGCAGGTCGGCTGAGTGAAGGTTGGGGGTGGGGGTCAGAATCCCGAGTGTCCCAGCATCAGTCTCATCTTCATAAACCATGGACAGGAAGCACGTACAGCCGGCCCCTGCCCCACAAAGCACATTTATGTATATCGAACACGGGTGGGGGCAGCCCACTGGCTGGGCCAGGCCCAACATTTCCCGGTCACATGTTGGCTCGTTCTCGCTGCAGCCGCGAGTTGTAGGCGCGGGATACAGTGTTCCAGGCGTCCATGTAGCGGTCCATGCACATGGCGATGCATTTCTGGAGGCGAGGAAAGCGCTCAGCCCAGGGTTCCCAGGTCCAAGGCCCCTCACCCCTGCAGCGGACTGCGCACGCGCAACGGTCCCACGGTGCCGCCCCGTTAGTCCGCGCAAGCGCAGAGGCCGCTCGCCGGTCGGAGCCCACGACCCATGCCTGCCCAAGGGTCTCACCTGCTCCGAATTGTCCAGGGAGCCCCCAGGCTTCCCGATGCACTTCCGGAAGCACTTGTCTGTCATCCTCTGTGGGGACATGTGAACCCTCAGCCGCGACGCCCGTCCCCTGGCAGCCCCCGCCGCCCTCGGCTCCCGCCCCCAGCCCGGCCCCGGACCTGCAGCAGCTCCTGCGCGTTGGCCACGGCGATCTGCACCTTCACCTGCTCCATGATGAGGCCCGGATCCAGCTTGCCGCCGCCCGAGCCACCAAAATCCGAGCCGAAGCTGCTATCCATAGCTCCGCCAAGTCAACCGGCACGAGGCCGCATGCGCCGACCTGTACCTGCGCCGGAAGTCGGACGCCCGTGGTGCCATGGGAAATGGAGTCCGGACGTGCTGGGGGCGGGGCGATGGACCGGACCACGACTCCCATAAGCCCGCTGTTACGTTGGGAGCCGAAATCCGGTGTTCAGACGCCGGGACAACGCGCTGCGCAGGGAGCAGGTGGCCGGAGCTTGGAGGGGCACTCCGCGCACAGGCCCAGCGCCCAACTCATCCTACCGCGCATGCGTAGGGGAGGTTGGAGCCCGGACGAACCCTGGGCGCCTTACGTGATGAATGCTGGCCTTGTGGGAGGGCCGGCTAAAAAAACAATGCAGAAAATGCAGAAAACTAGGGTAGCGGGTACTGCCAGGGAAGGTTAGGAAATGGATTCTGTCTGCAACTGCCAGTGATACTTTTTTTAGTGTGTGTGGGTTTTAACCACTTGTCAACCCGGAAAAATAATATATGTGCCATAAAGGACTCCTTATGGTTAATTGGGCTTGAATTCATACTCAGAGTCTAGCAGTCATTGGTTACAGGGGCCTCTCACCCACATTGCATTTTAGGGAAAATCTTCAGAGCAAGCTGCCTGTTGACTCACCTTTATGAGAGGTCCCAGGATGGCAAATCTATCAGTGGGCTGAAGACCTCCACTGTCCGATCAGAGCTATGCAACTATAGCTTATTTGCATCTTTACTGACCAATCAGAACACATGGAGCTGGCTGGTATATGGGCCAATCAAACTGTGTAAGTGTAGAGTCCTCATTTGCATAGGAATGGATCAATTGGGAACCAGAGATTGGCACTCTATACATGCCCTTCTCGCTGCTTCGTGTCTAGTTGTGCAGTGTTTCTGCAGTTTGCAAACTGAGCTATAGCACCTGAGCCCCTGCTTCAACTAAGCTGGTTCACACCTGAGCTGGTCCACAAACAAGCTCACATGAACAGGCTTGAGGAGGATGCTTTCATAACAAGGGGTGCATGTGAGGATGCTCACTCTATGGGCATGGGGGCTGGGCAGGGGAAGGGGCACCACCCATAAGGAGTGCAAAATGGGTAGCACATGTTCTAAAATTCTCAAATTAATCAGCCACCTCCTGGTGGTAGCAGAAGGGACTGTACAAAAATCACAGTGCAGAGAATTGCATTTGGCTAGGCCTCTGGACAACAACCATATGAGATGATCTTGAGCTTTATTGGCCAAGATGGGGTTCCTTTGAAGCCCCAGAGCTTGTCTATTTGCATACTCAATTGGGACAAATACCGTATATCCCAGAAACAATGGGAAGCCTTTTGCTGGTACCTTGAAAACTCTAAAGCAAAACAAACTGAATGTATGTGTACTTTAAATGGCTTCTGAGGCCTCTTTTTTCCTTCCCCATCTTCCAGGTGGGTGGAGGGGGCATTGCTATCTTGTGTTCGGGCTGCACCTCTGGAGCTATCTTCTTTGACTCTCTAGGTCCTAGAGTCTAGGAGAATCAGCTCCTTTAATCAAGCCTCCTAAGGCTGCTCTCTCTGTTTTCTGAGCTTTCCAACTTTACTGTGCTACAGCATACCACACACTAAAATACTTCTAGAAAGGATTTTTCCAAATTGGGAAACCCCCACTTAGTTTCACTTCACAGGACAAATTCTACAACAAGTAATGTTAAAACTTGGCCAGTATTGTAGCATTCCTATTGTGCTTATCATCCTCAGTCCTCTGACCTTGTAGAGTGGATAATGGGATAATTAAAACTCAATTGGTGCCTTGGCCAGGCGGCTCAGTTGGTTGGAGCATCTTCCCATATCCCAAAAAGTTGCAGGTTTGATCCCCAGTCAGGGTGTGTATGAGAGGCAAACGATTAATCTCTCTCCCCCACTTTCTCAACATATTCTCAGGCAAGGATGAAAAAACCCAAAAACCTCAATTGGTGAACCTTGTTTAATTTTTTTTTAAATTTTATTTTTAGAAAGAGATAAAGGGACAGGGAGAGATAAAAATATTGATAAGAGAGAACATTGATTGGCCGCCTCCTGCATGCCCCCCACTGGGGTTTTGGCCCACAATCTGGGCATGTACTCTGACTAGAAATCGACTGGTGACCTCTTGATGCATGGGTCAATGCTCAACCAGTGAGCCACACTGGCCAGTGCCAACTCTCAGCCTGTTGGGGGTCATCACAATGCAAAAATTACAAGCAGATACAGCTTGGAGTGAAGGGGAGCATCACAATGGAGCAGATGCTCCCGACTCTGGATGCAGCCCAATTTATTTGCAAACCGGTTCCCTAGGTTACACGGTGTTTTAGGTAATGAAGTGCTTGAGAGTGCTCTCTGCTGACCTTTCAGCCAAGCCCAGCATTATTCTTGTTCCAGCTGCCCCTCACTGTTTTCAGCAGAGATACATAACAAACACATTCACACTTGGGCCATAAACCCATTGACATTTTCAGGGCTGTGTTCCAACCCATCATGCATACCTTATCTATTCTCATGCATACTTCGGTCCTTGGCTGGCCAGCCTTAAGAATGCATACCTCAAGGTTACATTTTGTTCATCCACCAAACCCCCAACCCTACACTGGCCAGGCCCTTGTTGAATTTTTTAATCTACCCTGGCCTAAAGCCATTCCTGTGGTATTGCTTAACTTTAGAACTATTCCCTTTGATAAGCGTCAACTGTCTCCTCTTTTTTTTTTTTTTTTTGGTTAATTCTCACCCAAGGATATTTTTCCATTGGTTTTTAGAGAGAGTGGGAGGGAGAGAGAGAAAAAGATCTATGTGATAGACATAGATTGGTTGCCTCCTGCATGACCCCAACCAGGGGCAGGGCTCAAACCTGCAACCTAGGTATGTGCCCTTGACCAGGGATTAAACCCTTCAGTCTGCAGGCTGATGCTCTAACCACTAAGCCAATCTGGCCAGGGCTCAATTGTCTCCTTTTGAAGTAGTTACCAGGAAACCCCTGAGACTAGTTCAGGAAATATATGAACCTGCCTTAAGAAGAAATTCTAACTTATTGTAGAGAACTTATAAAAGCCCTTGAAATTAATTCAAAATTGGTAGACATCTCCAGAGGTCTCTTTCTAACCTCACTGGAAGGGACCACACTGGTACTGTTAACTGGTCCCTGGGCCAAAATGTTGGAAGGTAGTCTCATAAGTTTGTGTTTCACATTTGGAAAGACTCCCTCACTCACACCTCATCCGCCTGACTGGGCCTCCCAGCCTGTGGGAGACCACCACGTTGTCTGGGGCAGATGGCTTTCCTAGGGCCTGGGACTGGGCTGTAAAGTCCACTCCTGCTGTGCATAATCCTGATGTTTCATAGTTGTCAGATTCCTGGATATGTTAACGATCTGAATTCTCTTGCAACAAGCTGTCACCCTCCCTGCGTTTTAGATAGTATGTTCTAGTTATTCCATATTGATAACCCCTGACTACACAAGCTTTTTGGTTTTTTGTTGTTTTAACCCCTGAGTTTACTGTTGATTTCACCAAACCTTCTCCTTCTGAGACTTACAGGGTTAGACTATAAAAGGGGGCCCACCTCCCCCTTGTGTCCACCTAAACCAGTCCTCTGCGTCAACCACCATATATGCAAACACTCTCACCACCTCTCCTCCCATGGGAACTCACCACCTCCTACAACTGAATTAGTCTCTGGCCACCTGTTATGACATTGCCACTGTATCTTTTTTTTTTTTTTTTTTTTATCCTCACCCGAGGATATTTTTCCATTTTTTGTACAGATAGAGTGGGAGGGAGAGAGAGGAAGGGAGAGAGAGAGAAACATCGATGTGAAGGGACACATCGAGTGGCTGCCATCCGCACGACCAACCAGGGCCGGGGACAAACTGCAACCGAAGTATGTGCCCTTAGCGGGAACCGAACCCGGGTCTCTCCGGACCGCAGGCCGACGCTCTAACCGCTGAGCCAAACTGGCCAGGGCTGCCACTGTATCTTAAATGCCTTAAATACGGCTGCATCTACTCCAACCCTAACAGTTGTAGGACCCCCTCTGTAAGCCACTATGTCGAGAAACAATCCTACTCAGCATGGTCCCCCTCTCTGCCATCAAAATCAGCATTCCAGTAATTTCACACACCACCTATGGGGAAATAGTTTGGGAGGAATTGTAGCCTGACTTTTGCCTTGTACAAGTTGTGGTTTTGGCCCTGTGCGCATCTTCCCTTGTTCCTGACAAGTCAATGGAGCCAGATTTGTGTGTCCTGGTAGAATGAAGTGCTGCCAATTTATGAAAGTACATTTCATTCCTTTTATCTTGCTTCTTATGCTGGGAAGATTTGTAACCTGTATGTTGATATCTGATCAGTTATTCAAGTGGAAAGGACCTACATGTACCTCAATTGCGGTGATTTAGAGCAAAGAGGTAAGGTAAAAACTGATAGCCGAAAATTGATGCAATCTTTATGAATATTTTAGAATGTGTTTTATCCTTTTCCCTATACCTTAAATTGAAAATAAAAGGGGCAATTTCAGATATGAGAAAGTCTCTTTCAGATAGTAGTGATATCTCAACAGTGGTCAGTCTGCCAGCTTGAGGCTGTAATTTCTCTTTCTTCACTCTCGGGACTAACTATACTGAATGGAGCTCAGTGTTCTGAAGATGACTTTCTTTTGTGAGTTCCTTATCTTTCACCTTGTGCTTTAAAAAAATTGAAATGCATTTTAAGTGATGTTAGAGAGAATAAGCCTAACATTTTAAATATCTCTTAGTATGCACCATAATTTTGAAAACATACTTTTGAAAACTAATGATTCTGGCCTGGTTGGTGTGGCTCAGTGATTGAGCGTCAACCCATGCACCAAGAGGTCGCTGGTTCGATTCCGGGTCAGGGCACATGCCCAGGTTGTGGGTGGACTCCCCAGTGGGGGATGTGCAGGAGGCGGCCAATTGATATTTTCTTTCATCGATGTTTCTCTCTTTTTCTCCCTCTCCCTTCCTCTCTCTCAAAAATCAATAAAGAAAAACTAATGGTTCTGTAAATTACATTATTGGAGTTAAGTGTGTTCTATGATAGATTGG